GGGGTCTTATGGTGTTGCAGTGAAACGCATTATGTTGACACGCTTACATAGTTGTGCGTGACGCATGTCGGTGTGTTCGGCTTTGGGTCTGTTAGCTTTGTGATGCCTGAAGGTGAAAGGAAAAGTTCTGCTCGCGTACAAAGAGACGCAAATGACTTTTAAATAAATAGTCAGAACAGTTTTAATATCCATAATAAACCCAAATGATGAATATACGATCCAAAGTGACACGGATAAAAGATCCAACTTTATTGAATAGTATATTCAAAGTAATACTATTATATTATTTTACAGCAGGGATCAGATTTGTGTGAACCTTTTAAAACATGAATACAAAAAAGCAATGGAATGATATAAATGAAAGAAAACAGACAAACAGGCACATAGACAGTGAGGAGCAGCAGTGTGCAAACCTACACACACACACACACACACACACACTGACATGACACGGCCCTCGCGTCATGCCATCTGCACGCTGCGAGCCCCGGGGCGCTCGGCGGGTGGAGGCGGCGCGATGGACGGAGGCCTGTGTCATCAGTTGGCCGGAGGTGCAACAATACGGCCTTAATGCGCGATTAAGTCCCAGAATCCGCTGTCGTCACGAGTGAGCGCGTCAAACCCAGAGCGCCATCCAGATCCTGTCCCTGCTGACCCCCCCCCTCCCCCCCGTTGAGCCGGGACCTCGCGGCGGCGTGCAAACGTTTGCTGTGAGTCGGCATAAATTCAGCGACATCAGTTGTCTAAAGCGCGAGCAGCCCGACGGAAGGAATCACAGTGACCCCCCAATAACCCCCCCCAACCCCCCCTCTGTGTCGGCCTACCGGACGCTCGTGTGGACGTTTGTCCCAGAGTGTAAAGTGATTGAGTCTTTCAGGATTATTCTCGATAGGCCTCCAGCTTTCCTCCTTAATATTCAAACGAAACGGATGGTGACGCTCATCAGTGAAACAATCAGCCTCCCAGATGTGCAGTAACATCAGTAACATCAGTAACATCAGTAACGTCAGTTCCTCATGTTGTAATCGTGGACTTGTTGATTCGCAAGTTGTGTTTTATTTGTACGAGGAACAAGTTCTTCAACCGCGTCCGGGTCATAAATGTTGTGGAACGTGTGACCGGCGCTTCTTATTCGAGGTAAAACAAACAGCGGGTGAACAGACGAGAGGAGTCGTGTTCATGTTCTGCAGTTGTTTTTGTGTTTCTTTCTGAACACACAAAGCAGCAACACAACCACAAAGAGAGTCAGGAAATGCACCAAGAACAAGACAACTACACGAATAAAGGCAAAGAAAAGAGGACCACTGAGAGACAAATACAAAGAGACACAAATTCCTAAAGAGACGACCACAAAGAGACCGGAAACAACAACGCGACGACTACAGACCAACACGCTACACAACACAACAACAACCAGATCCATTTCCTTTCTCTTTTGAATCTTGCTTTCTGCAGGAGCGCTATTGGGTAATAATCTGATAATACTCCTACGGGTTTGATCATGTTTTTGAGGATTTTTTCACAGACCCACAAAATAATGTGTTATGTTGCGTAATGATTTCGGCCGATCTGCCAACTCTACTTCTATTGTGTAACGGTCCAAACGTGATGTGATCAGCGATGTGTGTGAGACTGACTTCAACGCAGCGGGTCCACCTCACGTGTTCCCCTTTATCCTTTCACATCCATCACATCCAAAGTTCCCCTCCCGTCTGTCCTCCAACCGTCTCCGTCCACCGTCGGGACACAACGTCTGCGCTCTCGCCTCGCTGGACTCAATCCTCTCAAACGCCTCCGCGCGGCGCGTCCCATGTGATCAGAGGGCGATGGGGGCGGTGAACCCAGCTCTCCTGTTCCTTCCTCCACTTCCCCCGGGGTTCCGGGTCGGCTTTTCCCCTCCGACTTGTTGGGATCCGTCTGCCTCCGCGTGCAGAGAGAAAAGTTCCCTTCATAGCTGCTTTGTAGCTGCCCGACCACGCCGCCACTTTTGTTTTATGATGATTTTACGGGCTGTCTGCTTGAATTGAAGGTTTCATTTTCTCAAGTAGGCCCTCAGGATATCGGAGCCCATTTAAACCCTTTTTTCAAAGATTCATGGCTGTCAATGAGTGTGTCATTACTATGACAATAAATATGATATATATGACAACTGTGACATATAAGTCACTGACATAGCAACATGAGAATTTCAAACAAGAATTTCATTGAGTTACTTGTTAAACTGTACACATCTCCTCCTCCTCCTGCAGGGACAGAGAGGGCTTCCACCCAACAGCAGGGAAACACTTTGGTTTGCAGATACAGATATTGATAATTCGATAATCGACCAGCACGACAGATCCAGCAGGAGGCCTCCGATCGCCGGCACGTGTTTATTCCCATAACGAAGGACGGATCCATGTTCATGCACGACGTGACTCGCTCTGCA